CGGCTGGCCCTGCTGGAGCTTAGCCTCAGCACGAGGAACTTTGCTTTTGCTCTTCGTCCCTTCGAATTGCATCGCACGTCCCACGTCCGTTGCAGACAGGGTTGCTGTGGACATGTTTGACTAACGGTAAAATCCTGTGCAAGTCAAAACTGAGCTGACACAGAACTCACTGCAGGGAACTTCGGAAAACTGCAACGGCTCATCAGCCCCTCGACTTGGTCTGTGTATCTGCCTGCTTGCATCGGCCGGACTTCATTAGAATCAAAACAAGAACAAACACACACACACACACACTCGCACGCACACACGCACACACGCACACACACGCACACACGCACACACGCACACACAAACATAAACATACACACACATACACACACACACACGCACACACGCACAAACATAAACACAACACACAACAACATCACACACACACAAAGATACATACATACATTTATATATATATATATATCCGTATACACAACCAACCACACACACACACAGGCACACAGCGACACACGAGGACAGACAGGGACAGAGAGAAAAGGAGGACAAAGAGAGAGAGAGAGAGAGAGAGAGAGACACACACACACACACACCCACACCCACACCCACACCCACAGCCACACCCACAGCCACAGCCACACCCACACCCACACCCACGCCCACCCGCCCGCCCGCCCGCCCACCCACCCACACCCACACCCGCGCGCGCGGGCCGGAACTTTCTTGACAGGCGGCTCTTCTCGATAGACTTGGTGCTCCGAATCCATCCAGACGACAACTCTTCCCGAGAGACAGCGATCCGAACCCATCCAGCAAGCTATCAAAGTATAGGTATGCCTGCTGATTGTCTGTACCTCGCAATCGATTTGAAACATCGACATGACATGAACACCCGATGCAGGGAAATCATTCGAAATTAAAATGCTGCGACTAAAGACAGGGTGAGAGGTTGTGGTTGTTTTGGAGATATAAAGGGCTTCGAGCTTCTTCAGGGTCTGGGGTGGGTACAGGTTATTGAGGTTTGGGTGGTTTTTTTTCATGCGTTTGGGTAAAGCTTTTGGTTTGGGGTTGATGATCGCTCGGGGCTAGCGCCATGCCACCCTGTTGCCACGCAGAGGAAGCGTGCTAATTTGGCCAAGGATCGATGGCAATAGGAAGTCGGCGGCTGGCAGCTTCTGTCACTGTCAAGTGATTTTCCATGTCTTGATTTTCGGGCTGGTTTGGTACATTTGCACTTGCCTTTAGCAGTGTCTCCTTGCCGTGCCCAGAGCGCAGCCAGCCCTACAGCTGCAGCTGCAGCCAGAGTTCTCAGCGGCATCCAGCTGCCATTGCGTCTTCACTGTGCCTTTTTGAAACTTAACTCTGTGCTTGCCTGCTTCGGCTTCATATATGGTTGAAGACGGATGTGCCGAACGGTCTGTGCTTCTGCGAAGTGCCTGAAACCCGGCATTAGTTACATCCCACGGGCAGCTCACGGCCTCCGCCACGCTCCACACTTGCAACTGTCCCAGCAACCTGTTCTTCACTTCACAGGCTTCTGGCTGCTGCTCAAGCCGGCACTGACTGACTCGAGTACTTGGAAACCCCCATTTCCCTGCAAGAGCCGTGCCTCCGCCCGAAAGCCACTGGCACCTGAACCAAGGCAACCAGCCATCTAGACCACATATCTCCCCAGACTTACTAGTAACGAGACTGCCGCATCAACAGCTTAGACAGGCATGCTGAGCGAAGGCCCGCAATACCGGGGAGTCCGAACGATGGTAACGATGGACATCTTCGAAACACCTAAATGCACACGCGGTGCGGCGACGCCTGCTTGAGACCGTGCAGAGGGGCCATGCGCGACGTCCCTCCGCTTCCATATAATTTGCTGTATCCAATGTCTGACGCATGGGAATGCCATGTTGAGAATTGTGTGCTTTCCAATGGATGGACACGACATGCCGGCTGATTCCAAGTGCGATTACTGTCCACCTGGAGCCAGCACGTGAGCATATCACAGTTGCACAGCAGGAAAGCCTCGGTGCACCTGATTCCAGGCCCTGCTCTGCGAAGAAATCGAAACGTCGACATCATTATCATACTCTCCCCAATGATGTTGCTTTTGGTTTGATGGGAGTATGGAGTCGCTGCATCAGATCATAGGAATTAGGGCCATTAGGGTGTAGTCATATATCGGCCGTGCTTCGCCAGATGTGCCTTCCCTGCTGTGCTGAAGTCAAAAGGGTATGAGAGCACGTGTGCCATCGTTTCGTGCTGGTGAGAGCTCGCGATCTTCCGATCCAGCTGGATCCAGTCCTGGGCTGAGGCAAATTTCTGCAGACCATTTGAAGGAGAGCTGGGCTTCAATGCAGGCTTTGGCTGCATCGAGGCTGGAGACTAAACCCCACCACTTGCAGGCCGTCAGGGGAAGTCAAGGGAATAGACCGACATTCAACTGCACAGCCACAACACTTCATCTATCCGAGCAAGATGGAGCGAGACTGCATGAACTGGCCCAAAACTCTTCAATCTTTGCGCATCTTCCTGAGCAGTGATCTAGGACGCAGCAAGGATCGCATGCCGAGATTCAAACCTGCTATCCCCGGGCCCTACATGCTAGTGCCATCAAGCTGCAAGCGCAGACCTAGGCGTCCCGACTGCTCTGAGATCCCGACACTCTAGCCCGACTGCAGCCAAAACAAGCCTCCTGGACCCTCAACCCGGCATCTTTGCGCAACTCGGCTACGAGGGCTTGCATCCTAGCCAAGTTTAGCCCGGTCAGTCAGGCAAAAACGTCCTCATGTCACATTGAACACTAGACATCTGTCTACCCTTTTCCACCGAGTCATGATGTGCTGGTTTTGCCCTTCACTGCGCTGCTTCTTGCGAAGCCTTTCATACTTCGTGAGTGTGTATGCCATGTGTTGCATCACTATGTTTACTGCTCCTGTGTCCACTCGCCATCATGCGGCACTCGCCGGTCCTGACTGTTCTTTCGGAGATTTCCGGACAAGGTCGGAGTTTTTCACTTGGCGGATTGGGGGCTTTCCTCTTGGCTTCCATTCCGGATTCCTTTTCAAGTTTAGGAGTCGGGATGCGATGCTTGCTCCAGTTGAAGCTATAATTTGTGGAACATTAAACAGGCAATTCTTGTCTCAAGACGAACCCAGGACCTGACCCGGCAGAATCCCGCACGTTTAAAGTGAACGCAAGACGAGGGGCATCGTTCCCGCAACAGCCTCTGCCCGTGCTCCGGCCAGCTGCAGGAGCCTTGCAAGCTGTCACTGTCAATGAAGACATGAAGACAGAGATACGGTGCCATCTGGATGCGGACAGATTCACGTGCATGTAGAGCTGCCGAAGTGGCTTCGCAAGCTCCGCTGCTGATTAATCATTAGCCGCAGACCGTCTCAATTGTGTATCAGGGTCAGGGCATGCCAGGTGATAGTGCAGTGAGTTGATTCCGTGTAGTAGGCTTGCATCGTGCCTCCTCCGGCTTCGACATGTTGACTGCCAAAGCTGACGAAAAAAAACTTCTGCGATCATGTTGCAGAGGCAACCCAAGTCTCCCCTGAAGCACATGCCAGGATTTAAGCTCGGTGGTCTTGCAGTGTCCAGGGATCTTAGCGCTTGTCCGAATCATGTGAAAGATTGTGATAGGGCGGTATGCGATCAAGACATGCCGAGACGCTCGTCACTCAAGGCAACATCCACGGATCCTCGCGCATCCTCAGGATTTCTGAGTTGATGTGTTGGTGGCTTCAGGGTGTTGCAGGTACTTTTCGGAACCTCCGGAGTAATGCTTGTACAGCTGTTGTCAGATGGCACCCAGTGGGATCTGCATCGGACGGCCTCCAGGAAGATAATTCCAGCTGGAAGAATGCTCGCAGGAAGACATGCTGCCAACCCCAAAACCGGCAGAGCTTCCCAAAAGTTCCGAAATTCACCGTCAAATCCTGCATCCTGCCATCCCCGGTCCGACGACCGTAATTTTCATTGGCTGACCTGCCGCGGGGGTGCCGGTTTCAGGTGACCGACGCGGAGTCCAGGCCATTGGACCTATCAGTTGGAAACTTCTGCCATCGGTCAGCTCCGATCAGCCGGACATGTCATGCAGTACGTGGTCAGCTACCACACGCTGCAGAACGCTTGAGTATTCTCGAAGTCGTGGCGCATCCCTATCAGACAGGGATTTGTTTGAGTCTTGGCTTTAAGCACACTCTGACAGCCTCTTCTCGCCATGTGCTGCATTTACTCGTCTGCCGGCTTGGTTGAGTGCATGAGGTGGATAAAGTGGTGGCAAGTGGAAACCTCTCTTCCAAGAAAGAAGACGACGGGCCTTGTCCACGAAACTGGGCACCGCGGCTTGCAGCACAGCCACGGAATCCGGAAGCCTTGGGAATTTGCGAACGTCCCACGATCTTTGGGCTTGATCGTGCAGAGGTAAGCTGCATAGCTTTGGGTGGGAGGTCGAGGCGTGGCTTCCAGGAGGGGTTGTGAAGATCATGGTTATTGAAAGTGGACTGGGGATTTCGCTCAGACTTTGACAAAAAATTGACAGAACAAGCAAACAAAGACAAGTCCCCGCATAAACCTTCAATCAGTCTCAAAAGGGTTCGCGTCGCGTGAGCATTCTTTCTTTTGCAGGGTTTTCCTTGTGACAGCCGGCTTCCCTCTCGCAGCCCCGTTCAGCAAGGTGACGCTAAGCGTAGCTACGGCAGCTGCGGTTTGGAGCTCGGGCCTCATGTCTGATCCAAAGTAGGACTCTTAGCTCTTAGTTGAGCCCAAAAGTCGCTGTGGCTGTCTCCGGAACTATCCTTCTTTGATCGATGCAATCCCTGTCATGCGACTTTTTTCGCCGTGATGTCCGTCGTCAGCAGCCAGACGCACTGCGAAACAATTCGTGAAACTGGAGTGCAGCAACCCCTCGTCTAGACAAGCCCTCGAATCTCCCTAGCCTATGTATACTACCATAGAGCCTTCATCTTCCTCAACCAAACTCCCTCGACGCTTCAGTCCTCCGCGCCGCTCACCGGAAAACACCGCTCTTTCATGGGCATGCCAAGGCGGAGCCTCAACTGAAGCGTCGAAGCGAGCACGCAAGCACAAGCAAATAGAGGTAGAGATGAAGGCTGCTCCGTTCACAGCCAGTATGTACATCTGAAGCCAAACGTTTGTTTGCGTAAGCCGGGTCGCGTGTTGTCCACCCATGCCACAGAAACGATTGGAATCCGGTTCTGCTTGGCGAACTCATACCTTGGTTCTGCCACTGGGTATGCGCTAAAGTGCGACCCATGCCAAGAACCACTGCGCACGAAACAGAAGCTGAGAGGCTTTTCACCCTGGCTGGCACCAGCGATGAGATGCGTATGGGCTTTCGTGAGCTCCTTCGTCGGCGTGTGTTTCGAACTGTACTGGAACGCTCTTGCTAAGAACCCCCCAGCTTGGCAGAGTTTCCTGGCTTCGCGTGATCTTTTGCAATCATCCGGGTTTACATGAGGAGTCGATGCGTCAGGTCCACCGCTTCTGATCAAAGACTCGAACAAGCAAACAAACAAAGTGTGCCTCGCACCCCCTTCGCTCGACCCTGGATCACTGTTTAGCAAGACAAACCCACACACCCAGCATCCAGTAATTAAAAATGCAAAGCCCCTGGACACCCTGTGGTTCGTCTACTGAGAGTCTACTGACTATTTGTCCCAAGGCTTAAGCACAAGAAGGACCACTTCGTCAGGTGAAAACCCCAACCGCAACAAGGCATGTGTCGATGCATGTTACTTGCCACGGGGGCACATCTGTGCACTGTGCACCCAGAAGCTGCGCTGTCATGACCACGGCCTCTTTGGAGCCTGGAACTGGATCACAGTCTTGACCATGGGCTAACCCCAGGTAAGGTGAGCAGAAGAGAGACAAAGAGAGAGCGAGTGAGGCAACCCAAGAGCGAGCGAGAACGAGCCAGGGGCAAGGAAGAGAGGGTGGGTGCGAGAGAGCGAAAGTGATGGTCATGGGTTTGATGTCGCTATCTACATTGAGGAAGCTATTCTGCGATGAGGCCAGGTGGTCACATGCAGAGGCTGTGATGTGCAGTAATGCACCATCCGAATCATCCTCTCGTAGTTTATCTTCTCCGCAACTTGCTCGGGTGTACCGGTTCGGAACAAGCCTCATTGGGATTAGACTAGGTGAGATTAGGCTAGGGTGTTGGATTAACTTAGTGATTAGTCTTAGGTTTGATTCTGCTCGATAAGATAAGGTAAGGCCACACAAAATAGCACAAACCAGATGAGTCGAGATAAACAAGAGAAGCCAAGATAAGATCAGTTGACATAAGCAAAGATAACACAGTATAACAGAAGATGTGGCAATGTCACGTGGGGCAAGATAAGTACAGTAAGATAAGATAAGGTGAGTAACATAAGATAAGATAAGATAATGTAAGTAAGGTAAGATGAGGTAAGCTAAGACTAAGATGAAGGTGAGGTGCGATACGATGAGATAAGATAAACACAAGCAGGTAAGTATATAAATGGATGGATGAATAGATAGATCGACAGATGGATCGAACTATATATAGACAGGAAGAGGGAGGGAAAGAAAGAGAGAGAGAGAGAGATATAGATAAAAAGAGAGAGAGCGAGAGAGCGAGAGAACAACAAAGAGAGAGAGAGAGAGAGGTGCCTACTGAGTGCCGCAATCAGGGCTTGAGTATTGAGGCCATGGCTTCACAATCGGGGATCAAAGGTATGCAAGAACGCAGGCTGATGCCACCTGTCTTCAAACCCCCTCTGAACAACATCTCGGAATTTCAAGGGTCCCCGAGCTTGGCTTATCGCCGTTGGCTTGGGCAAATATAGCAATCTCAGCTCCAACTCTGAAATCAAAAGAAAGGAGTCCAGCTTTCCCCAGCAAGTCAAGGTGACGTGTGCGCAAACGGCTGGTGCTCAGTAGCAGGCCTTGGCCAGGATCGTGCACACAATTCTCAATCCCAAATCTACACCCTCAGATCAGAAATCACAGACCGTCTCCTTCGGCTCATGACCTCCAGTCTATTGGATCCATGCTTGCTCAAGAAAGGCCAAGACGCCCTCCATAAGTCGAGGTGCATAGCAACCGAAGGCCTGGGTCTGACACTTGCGTCACTTGCTGGCTTGAGCACACCGTTTGCAAGACCTTGTTGGGGCTTCGAATCGCGAGTCAAGCCTGTCTTAGGACTGGATCCCCCTTCGTGGCTTGAGGCTTGTCATTCGAGTCATGGTGGCGGGGTGATGAATGACGGGTGACGCCATAGCAACTCCTGACCCCGATGTCGAACAATGCTTCAAATGTCCAGTTTTCTGGCAGCCATTTCTGTGAAGCAGAAGAGGGGCATGCAAACCTCTCTCGGCCCTCCATCCGTCTCAAGTGTCTTGGCACGAGAGGCCCCTGGAGTCTCGTTGCTGCTCCCCAGGCAGCCAGCAATGCAGGAGCGGAAAGAACCTGCAGCTAAGGCATATCAGAAAACGGCCATGGATGGGTTGCAAAGGCAACACAACACAAGCTGTGCTGAGATATCCAATACAGAGATGATGGAGGTGGCGGTGGTGATGGTGATGGTGCCGACGCCGTGACCACGCATCATGCTATAAAGAGTGGCGGTGATGAGGAGGTTGGCTGTGACGACGAGCAAAATAAGAAGAAGATGATGATGATGGGGCTGTCGCAGCATGAAGACTCTGTACTTGCGGGCTGCAATATGTAAAGACGGTAGCTGCCACTGCCACCACAGCAACTCTTCCGCACTCCTTCGGCCTGAAACTCCCGCCGGTAATTCAAAACCCCCTCTACCCGTCACCCTAATGCCGTCCGGGGTACTGAATGAGGCACCGATGGAGGCACAGCCAATCCTGGGAGTATCAATCAACACGCCCTCCATTAGAACACACACTGCTCGATGGGGGATTTTGCGGTTCCGGGGTCTGTAAGTAATCCAACACAATTACAAGTGTTTATCCAGGACCGGATTAGCTTGACAAGGATTGCAGGGGGACTTGCAGGCTGCAAGCGCCATTTATGGGGCGGAGATGTTATTGTTAGCGGGAAACGAGTAATCGACTTTGAAGAGAAGAGAAGCGCAAACTTCCCTTCATTGTCTGGGGATGTGGGAGCCTCCCCTCAGTGACCTCCAACAAGAAATCGGGCACAGCAAAATATGACGCATCGAACTCAACTCCCAGAGACTCTCCAACACACCCCGTCACAGACGAAGAATATCCCAACATGTCGAGTGTCCGATGTCTCGGAAGTTGCCGGCCCGCCACGCAGCTGGCTCGCAACCAGGCACCGCGGTACAGCCTGTGGAAGGGCGTGTTTCCTATATATTGAGACTGGCAAGCATACAGACCATGACGACGATGACGACAGCTGTAGAAGAGAATGATGACGATGATGATGGTGGGGGTGACGACTAGTTGCGATTTGCATCAACAACAGTATAATGACATGAGCAGCGGCAGCACTGGATGCCCAGTTCGAACACAGCCTTGCTTGCGACAGTGCCTCCACGAAAATTAAAGTTGTCACTGCTGCTCCCCGATGAGGCTGCTACGCTGCTATAGCAGAAGGAGCAAGTGACGAAGAGAACCAGCCGAAGAGACATGATCGACATTACCATAATCACGATGCCGTGCAACTCTCCCCTCCTCATGGCCATGGCTATGCAACAATTCCCCATACCCACACTGCAAACGCCAGCAATGCCACCTCTTTGCGAAGCAGTGCTAAAGTGCTACAGGGGCAGCAAGGATCGAACTGTGCTGAACATCGCAAAGTCAGAGCAGACATCATGCCCCAAAATTTAACATCATGGAGGGCGATCGCCAGTTTACATTCTGCAAGCTGGCTACAAGTGCGCCGGGTGAGTGTTGTGGTGCCACATATCATTGAGACGAGGGTCTTGTGGGAATGCCGGGATGTGGCGAATGCTGCGCAGCTGCCGCCGCCAGGACCTATCCTTGCATGGCAGAAATCTTCCGCATCGTCACGCCCCAGATAAAACTTGAAGCCTGCATGCTGCATCCGAGCATCAGAAGAATGTCTGCTCCCTGCCCACTCTGCTGCACTTTGGCACCGCACCAGCGGGCTAGGTGGACCAAAGGGCCCATCTCCGGCTTTCCTTCGAGGTTCTGAAGAAACACGCTCCCTAATCCTGCGTTCCCGAACCACCCACAAGCCATCAAGCCTGAAGCACAACAGCCGATTATTTGCCTTTGCAATCCGCAGCCACCATTCCACAACGAGACCGAGGCAAGAGAGTGGAACTCGATGGTGTGGCAGTGTGGCTTCTCAGGGTGACATTGATGCTTTGGCTCCAGGCCAGGATTGCGATGACTGTGGGCCTGCTTGGGGAACTGCGCTCGCCTGCGTGCCACCGCCACCAGGGACTACAGTTGCTAACAGAAGCCGGTGCCTAAGTCGTAGCCATGCCCGTGCCTGTCCTTTAAGTCTACTAGCTCCTTGCAGTTTTCCAAGTGTCCCATGAGCAGCGCCACCCGGAGGCCCTTGAAGAGCACCCTGCGGCAGACGTAGCCATGGCGGCCTTCCAGTCGGACTTCCCGTTTCATCTCTTCGCCTTCGTTGGGAGTTGGGGGACATCTGCAAAGGCTTGGAGACCTATAGCCTCAGCACCCTGAACCGAACAAAAGCTGCCCGAGTCATGGATAACATTTCCTTGCAGCCCAAGGCACGCTCCAACTCCGAAAAAGGAAGGGACGCGAATTCTGCGTCGGCCCGTCGGACCCAGAGTTCCTAGGCTTGGCTCCGTCGCTCTGCGATGCAGAGATGCGATGCTGCAATGAACACAAAGGCACTGGGTTGAAGGTTGTGCAGATGGTGCTTGACCCTCCTGGAGTGAGGAAGGCGCCTCCGTCTCTTGAACATCCCCAGGTCTTCATCTGCCTTACTCACTTCCGCTGAAGAGCCACATGTCGTTTCTATCATTTTCTTTCCATCCCCTGGCGAAGCGGAGTCTCAGTTTTCAATTGTCAATCTCCTTCTGTCTGTCTGGTTTTCGCTTCCTACTGACTGGCTGCCTGCCTGACTGACCCGCTCCCTCGCTCGCAGCAAGGTGAAGCTTAGAGGGCCTCACAACCGGAAACTATACAATGCCAAGGCTCAGTGCTCTCCAGGATCTCAACTAGGCATCCTCGTCCAAAACATGATTCAGCTTCAAGCACAAGACGGTCGCAAGATATTCGTGTTTGGGTCTAAGTCTTTAGATGCAAGTTCTTGGATGGGGGTTTGCCGGATTTGAATATGACATCGACGAAAACTCGGCTGACTTAGGAGCGCGGCATGGTCCTGGAAAGCATCGAAAATCTGAGCCATTCCTTTTGAAGATTTCTGTAGTGCAGGAGCATCGACATGAATCTGGCGAGGTGCTAGTCGTGCTGGCGCTGCGAACGAGTTCCTGGCGCAGTCGAGTTCCCTAACAAGCCCATTTCTCGACTCACACTGTCGTAGTCCCACGCATGTCCCGTCCCCTCAAGCTCCGGCACATCGTGCTACAGCTCCGAACTCCAATCCAAGTCCTGGTCTGGCAAGAGATCGGCAATCTGCTGCCATGCCTGGGAGCCCAACTGACGATACCCATGGCAGAGGTGACGCAGCTAGGACCATTCTCGGCTCTTGCTGGTAATTACAGTAGGCGTTTGGCAGGTTATCGGCTGTGCAAACAGGTCCAACGCATGCCTTTGTCCTGCCTGGTAGATCCCAGGCTTTCATATTCGAGTAGGGTCCACGGAAAGCCAGTTGCCCTAAACATCCCTAACCTGCAGAGAAAACACCTGTAAACCTCGTGGGTTGCAGTATGCTTGGACGCCTCGGCTGGCAGCAATGACCAGGAAACCGATGGACGGCTTTGCTCCTGCCGTCGGCTTTGGAGGCTTCAGAGCAAGGCCCGCGCTTTGTGCGAAGTCTTGCTCCGCTTCCTCTTTTTCTCTCGGGCAGGGAGACCTGACCAGGCCTCCGAAACCCTTCCTGTGCCAAAAGTGACTTTAGATCCGTCTTAGAGGAAGGACAGGCTCAGTCACACAGAAAATTCTCGAGCCATCCCTCCAAGTGCCCCGTGCAACAGCCCGAACCTAGAACTGGAAGCGGTTTAGGAGCTGGGAATACGAATGCCCGGCAGCAACTGCAAGCATTGGTCTCTGCGTTGGTCTTTCGATCTTGCGAGACTCTTGCGTGGCTTATGTCTCTGACATCTTCGGAGGTCCTGCTGTCCCGCCTGATTCTGCGTTCGTGGGCTATCCGGGCCGTCCGTGAACTCGCCTTGGCTCTGCAACATCCCAACAGCATCTTGGGCTGGAATTCTGTCGTCGCAAATGCTATACTATACCCTGCACTTGACCTGCGACTGCCTACCGCCAGTGCAAGCTCGGTGCGCCGACGTCGGCGTCTGGGCCGCGTGTCGTCAGAAACAGGTGCAAGCTCAATCCTGTGCATGCCGGGATTCGATGGGGAAGGGGATGCAAGCACTCAAAAAGCCAAACATATCTCGTTTTGTTGATTTTTTGCAGACCCGCGGTCCTGCCCTATCATTAATTTCGTAGCGGTTGCCTATACACGATACAGTACTGCAGTATACTGCAGTACCCCACAAAACATTGCGATCACCTGCGTGCTTCAATCTTGCCTCCCTCCCATGATCGATCTCCCATGCGCCAATAAGCATGTCCTGCGACTCTGCAATAAATCACGGCTTCACCGTGACAAGATGTTGATCTCACTGCTATCGGCTCATGACGTCTGTCAAGGCAGGCTCCGTTCAGATTCTCTCTTGCAGAATGCCGCAGAAGCTCTCTGGACCAGCTTACACAATCGCGCACTCTCTCACCAAAGTACCGGGACCGGGACACCGAACAACCGGCTCAAAGCCTTCACATGCATCCGAAGGACGGGCTGAGGAGCGGCGTGCTGCCGTCGGCCTGGGCCTCTCCCTTCGGCGACAGCCCGTCGAAGTCGTCCATGGCGCCACGGTGCGCCGCGCGCGGCGAAGCGCAAGTAAGTCGCTTAGATTTTGTGGTGTGCATGAAGCGAAGCTCGACCCATGTCCCAACATGCTGGGCTCTGATCTAGCAACGGTTGAATGGCTAGAGGCGCTCCCCCTCCGTCCCCCCCGGTCTTGCACTCCTATAGCCTATACTGTCTTGACGTGAGGATTGTGCCATGTGAATCCGACACATGAGGTGGTTTCATGACGGTCAAGCCTGTGTCACTTACAGCAGCATTACAGCAACTCTTGCTGTTGTCACATGCTCATGAACGGCTGCATCGAGCCAAGATGAAGACAGTAAGAACGTGCCGCACTCACGTGAAAGCCTGAGCTTGACAGTGTTGACAGGCAATCACGACAAAACCGGCATTCACATTGCCCCTCTTCAGACGCCTCGCGCCTCATGCGTTGACTCCGCAGTCAAATCACTACATTGACACCTCAGTCTATCCTGACGTGCGCACACTTCATTGCAAGTGAGCTGCAGCCATAAATCACCTGGGCTTTCGCGTCTCAGTTGAACTTTGCTCTCCCTTATTCCGCTCCGACTTCGAACCGCAACATTGACATGATTTCCAAGGTCATGCGTGGCTGCTGCTTTCGGACACATCGACTTCGAGACACAGCCGCAGCTTCAGCACAACCCCCACAGCTTTTTCAAACCAAAGTGCGGGGCTTAATCCGTGCAATTTGGGGTGGGGAATCGAGTGATCAACTGACGGAGCCAGAACGCCACGCCCGTCCTCCCAAATACTGGACGTGGAAGCTTCGACTGAGTCCTTCGGAGCAGACGGGGTGCTCTCTAGCAAAACTCGCCATCGGGCGCATACCGAGAGATGATCATCATGGCAAGCGAAACTGAGCCCGTGGATCAAATGCTGATTCTCCAGATCCTCGGGAACATCAGAACTTAGATCAAACAATCCTTGACTAGGCCAGCATGATTAACGCCACCAAATCGGAAGCTGCGAGAATGAGAAAAGGATGGCTGCAAAAACACATCAAGGAACAGGACACTCCATATCTTCACCTGTCACATCGGAGAAATAATGTCTAACAACTAAAGGACTGTACAAGCCAGAAACAGTGGACTCAGTGGCTGAGGGCTGGGCCGCCTCGACCGGCCAGAAACCCAGAAGCGTCTTGGACTTCTTCTCCACTTGGCTGGCCAGGGACGCGGGAAGCCTCCGAGAGCTGCGTTCGGGAAGCTGTGCTTTTGCAAAATCACTGGCGCTACTGAATTGCAGAGGCTCTGCATGAATTGGGACACCTTCAGGCGTGGAGTCAACCCGGTGCGAATAAACCAACCAGACCTTGCAATGCCAGGAGTATAAATAACGAAGAGACTCGGAGAGAGTGCCGTGCTTAAAGAAAGACTCCTTCAGTTGCATGGAGATCGTGTCCCACAGGATTTGACAGCAGCTTTGAGTTCACAATCGGGTCACAAGTACATCGAGGTCAAGGGTCTAATGTGCCCGACGTTATGCCCGGGCCCAAGCTTGGGAGAATCCCGGGCCGAAACGTCCAGAACGACTCTCAGACATGTGCCACGCGGCATTATATGCAACTGCTGTAGTGTCGAAGGGCTGCTGCTAATGCTCCAGGGCCTCCGTCGAAACCGAGAGGAAGCAAATTCACAGGTGCGTAGAACCGCGCCTTCCAAAAACATTCCGGGACAATTCTGTAAGATCCCCTCTCTCAGGCACATCACTACTGGGCTCAAGATGGTCATGGGTTGGATGAACTCAGTTTCGATTTCTACGCGCAACAACGATCGGAACCTCTGCCGGATCTGGGGTGGCGTTTCTTTTTGGACTTCGTGCAGCTGGCTGCAGGGGACTCCAATAGTCTGAAGCACAAGGGCGGAAGTGGTGCCTGCGGCAGTTGGGTGATCCACCGATTTCCGAAAGCAGCAGATGAAGAAGCCCTCGACCTCCAGGCACCATCAGCAAGCGCAATGACTAGCATCTGCAAATCCGGAAGCTTGTCTGAACAGAAACGCATGCTGTTCACCGGCATGCCATGGCAAGGATGCCGCGGAAAAGTAAGTAACAGGATGACCACGGCCCGCGAGAATGCATCTCTCTGTGCGACCACGGTGCATTAAAACTGTGGGGAAGCAAGCGCACAGCTCCTGAACCAGCGATTGACACCACGCATGTCATGGATCAGAAATGGTGGAGGAAGGGCTGAAGGTTGCAACTGCAGTTTGGCAAAGTCATGGCCCTGGCATGGGCATGGAAACGCCACCATGACCCCGACCGACTGCTGACACTCCCACCCGACGTTGAATGTCCACATCCATCATCGGTTTGAGGTGTAAGAAGTCCTATCGATCATTGCAGTGGCCTAGGCCACCTCCGCCCTTGCTGAGCACGTGGAAGTGCGGCCCCACCGCGAAAGGCAGCTCAAGCAGAGACAAAATCTCCACAGGTATGGCAGCCTGTGCAACGTGCGTACACGGCTGGGTGCTTTGCTGGTCAGGGTCTATCTTCACAAGCGCGAAAATCAGACAGAAATGGAAGCGGTAGCGGTGGTCTCGGTGATGATTGTGTCATGATACATAATGCTACCGCGGATGATGGCAGTCGCGATCGCTGCCAGGCTGTACATGGTGATGGTACTTACATCGGCAATGAAGATACACGCAGCATGTGCAGTCAGATCAGAAGCAAACGATATGGCTAATTTGCCCCAACATCCAAAAACTTCATGTGCTTTTGTTTTGCTGTTGCGGTTGTTGAGCTGTTCATCTACATTCATTTACAGCATGAAACCCTCGTGCACGCAGACAGGTCCAGCTTAGTAAAACACAAAAAGCAAGGATGTCATTATCTCACTGAGTCTCACCACCTCTGCAGACGCGCAACTCTAAGAGCAACGGCAAAGGGCAGGGAACCTCAAACCACTCGAAGCGACGCAACCAGGCCTGCACTACTGCTGATAGTGACATTGTCACGACTTTATGACCTAAGTAAATCATGTCAGTAAATATCATGATCTACATCTCGTAATATTAGATTGTCGTCGTCATAATCGTCACCATGTCCAAACACCACGGTTTAACATCACCACCACCATCATCATCATCGTCACGTCCTGTCCCAGCATCGTAAGCATAAGCGTGTCGGCCTTGTTGCCTTGCTTTGACGCCATTACTCTGCTGATTTGCTTGCGACTTCAGCTCTGCAAATGGGCAGTCGAGACTCCACACCCGCTACCCGCCATACCGTACTCCCCCAATCCGAAACATGACAGCCCGTCGGGAGCAAAGGTGCTAGCACTGCCAGGCACAGGACTTCATGAAGGCAGTGACATACGGGCGAGCCCACAATGTGCTTAACATGCCATCATTTGTGGGCACTGTGAATTGTAACGTTTGTCCCCCTGCCGCTCCCGCGACGGCAGCACCAGATGATTGAACTTCAGACCTGAAGCATGAATGTAATCTGCGTCCAGAGAACGTGGTTGACATCCATGAGGAACTGCGAGCAAAGCTTCTCGTTCTCGTTAGGGTTGAAGGTGCAGGTTGAGTAAACCTGACAAGTGACGCGCTAACTCAACTTCACGGCTTGCTGAGAGACCTGCATGTTCATGGAGCTCTTCGCTACACCATCCCGAACCTCGAAGACACTAGATGTTAAAAACACGGCCATCAAGCAGATAAGCAGATAAGGGACTAAGCAGCCACCGGGCTTCAGAGCACGCCACCCGCTGTGGAGCAAAGATAGCTGAATCTCTGTAAGCGCCCGGCTCCTGAGCTGCCACCACCGAGAGAAGGTGACGGCGAGTAACGCTGCGCAAATGAAAAGGCATTGCCCAATTGCTACAGACAGCTCTTGGCGAATGGGCTTTACCATCTCCGGCTTCTCACAACTGCACCGGTAGTAAAACGTTTGGCCCAAGTCTCTCCTTTGCATCACAACGGAGCAGACGCAGGATCTCTTTTCGCACTGTGCCTACGAGGAATCATGAAAGACCGTCACATACCGTCACTCACGAGCAGCAGACCGAACCCTAACAGCCATACCGATTCAGCAAAGCAAACATCTCAATACGCAGTGCACGCCGCAGGCTGATGTCTTCATGCAGCCACATCCAGCATCACCGTAACTCTCGGTCTCGATGCAGCGGCAGCGGCAGTACCACCACCACCACAACCACCAGCACCAGCAACAGAATGAGGACAAGTATTCTTATCGCCTCTTCTTCCGATCTTCGAATTGCCTTGCTACTGGCCACAGGCTGAAGCGGTGAAGCCCTTGTCGTGACAAACACACTTCGCAGGATAATCCCCTCGAGCTCCAGCCGCCTTCGCATGAGCACGGGGCATCCACGAGCACCTCACACTATCTGTCACTATCTTTCTGGGGAGGATTAAGGCTCAGGTGGTGTGTCAAATCCGATAGCCCAGTCGGCGTATGCGGTCTTGTACCGCATCGAGGAATACAAACAGCTGCCGAACCCTCATCCCAGGTCCCAGACTCTGAAATCTGCACGGATCGTAACTCCTTATCGTCAGCTTGCAAATTCGGACTTAGCTGCCCCGTCGAAGGCTTCGGGGAAGACTTGCCCAACTTCCCGTCCATCCGCGCAGCTGACCGCCACTTGGCTGCCGGACCCACTTCTCCTGAGAAGAGCATAAAAGAACGTAGGGCACTGGCTTAGGCATGCTCCCGCTATCGCTCACATGGCTCAATGACCTTCGGACCTTCGGGTTTTGTGCAGCCATGCGCTCGCGCTCTTGCCATGTGCACGGACATTCCAATGCGGCCACGCATCAGAAGATTTCGGTGAAGAATCTCCTAGGTTACGCAGAGTGGACCAACAGACAGCATAACCTAAGACGTGTTCCACTTGAGCTTTACCATCAGTTCGGCACTCAAGCTTCGAAGACACTGGAGTCGCTGACAGACAGCCCTCCCCGTTGTAACTACCAGCGTCCCGGCAGCCCTTGAACGCTTCGTAGGCTACCGGGGGGCGGCGCGCCGAAAGTCGGGCTCGTTGGCAACGAGTGCGCCACCCTGCCAGGTCCGAGCGCTGAAGCTTGTTTTCACGATCGTTCGGGAAAGCTTGGGCAGAACTCGCTTCGCTTCCTCATCCAACAGATTTCCTGCGACGCCTGGAGGCCGGCCGCCAGCTGCGTGGATTTGCCTCAGCTCGTGCGTCCACCACTCGGCACCTGCCTGCCGAGTCAAAGCCAGGGACCAAAAACCTCCAGGTTTCTCCTGCATTCCCGAAGCCTTGAAGCATCCAGTGACACGGAACATCATGGAGGCTTCCGAAGCTTAGCTCTGTCCAACTCAAGCTCAACGGCTGCCAGGAGCTGCACACAGGTCGAGCAGCAGCAAACCAGTCCTTGGTGCGGATTGGTCGAGAGACTGCTTCGAACAAGCTCAGGCAGCTCGTCCTGCCTCACTCACACTCCAATGGCTTCAGAATCGTGAATAGAGATGAGGCCTGCGCTTCCGGGATCGCAAGTGGGGTTACGGTTTTCAGGATGTTAAGCCGGAAGCATCCCAGACCTGAAAGACAGGTGTGCGGGCCTTCGGCTTCGCTTGAGACAGGACATCTTCTACCCGGTGTCAGATCATCAGTTATTGGAGCTGAAATGGAACAGGGTGCATGGTTCGTGGGCCGGATGTCTGCGTGAAGCACTCCAGAGCGAGCAGCAACACCTGCGAAGATCTTTTGGGAGGTGCACGAGCTGGAAGTTGGGGGTCCACAGTTCTGAGGTCAGCGTTTTCAGCACAGCTTAGACCAAATCATGAAAAGGACTCTGGACTTCAAGGTCAAAGAAGGCGCCCTGCACCTCAATAGCTAGTCAAGTGTGTACGATCCTCCCATCTCATATATGTACGCGCTCGACCAATCGGCAGAACGCACAGAGACATACTAACTGGCAAAGACTATGGCAGCGGCCTCCGCTGGAAGCATGGATGTGGCCTCTTGGAAATACCTGATCTCAGTCTTTCCACCGCCCTGCAGCTGAACATTCTCACACCGCCACCGCCACAAAAGCTTAACATCCTCACACCGCTACAAAAGCTTCCGTGCCGCGCTGGCAGTATCTCCTCTTTGTTAATTCTGGTCGATGCTTCCTGCAGCGGCCATTTTTGATTGAATTTTGACGGGGTGTTGGCGTCCTGACCATTCCGTGCCCGCTGAGCGTGCTCACCAGGGCACACCTCGCCAGTCACATGAGGCGGGCTTCCGCCGACTGCGGTAGCACCGTGGGCGAGGAATCCATCAGCCAGCCAGGGAAGTGGGCTGACCTTGCATGGCTTGGTCCTACGAGACCGTGATAGCCCGTACACCCCAAAATATATTGGCTCACCGATGCGACACTCTCCGATATTGACAGCCAGCCGCCTGCCAGCCATCATCGCCAAGGCGAGCCAGAAGCGAAGAAGTCGCCTTCAACCGCGAGGCCCGGAAGCTGCGCTGCAGCGGCCTGGAAAATCTGCGGCAGTGCACAGTAGAGGTCACACAAAGAGAACGCAACTGACGGGACGGACGGTGTGTGGGCGCGCTTGCCTCGGTGTGCGTGTGCGTGGCCAGTGGCATTAAATATTAAAGGTATTACAGTTTCAGGTTCATCAATGGCTCACGATTCAAGAAAGGGTCGCACCCTCTGGAACTTTATGAATCTGCTGCAGGAGGCTTCCATCAGCATGTAGCTCTGGTGCCAATCGAGTCATCACTCAAATTTGAACTGAAGCCCGGTCCTTGCACAGGCCCGCAAAAAGCGGCGCAGCGAAAGACCCCGCAACTCCTGCAGACATCAGGGTGCATCAGGGGTCTTTCTTCGGGAGCCGGTTTCGACGAGAAGTACTGCACGGCTAGTGTGTCGAAACAGGCCGGGCTCTCTCCGTCTGCGATCGTCAAGCATAGCAGCTGTTTGCGCTGCATACTCGACAGTTGGACTGGCATTTCACTGGCTTGTCGGATGCACGTCACTTGCAAGTTTAGTCATTTGTCGAAGTGTCATGGAACCGCACGGCACTTCCGAGAGGTAGCAGAACCCGGAAACGAGGTTCTTGCCAACACACGATCTCTTCCTCCTAAACGAGCTGTCGTCGTAAGCGCAAGTGCGTCGGGTTGGAACCTTTCGCTGGGAGGGCTTGCAAGGATCGTCGACGTGTTCTGATTTCCTTAAAGTTCCAGTCGTCAGATGGATCCGCACGGCACCGCTGAATCTTGCCACAGCCGAGAAATTGCATGCTGAACGGGCCTCTGCAATCAGCGGTCCAATGAGCTGGAAGAAGTCATTGGATGCATACCTGAGCTTCGACTCGCAGACTCAAGGCAGGCACGATGCAGGATGACAGGCATCAGCTAAGTTTACATGTGTGAGACTCAGGATAGATGCCCATTGGGACAAGGGGCTTGCACGTTAAGCCTGGGTCGGCATTTTGCTTGTAGGCATTTAGCTCTTCCGAACGTGCCGACACACCGGGGACGATGCGACAGCTATCACAGAGTTTTTTGCTGCCAGGCTCTCTAAGCTTTCTATAGAAATGTGGGAAGCGAAACATCGGTTTGAAGGCTCGGTGCATCGTTGGGCTCCCTTAGCCCGCAAGCCTTCGTCCGAAGGAACCCTGAGTTCTGCAAACGCTATGCGCGGTGTCACTTGTCCCAGTCACTGCTTGGATCATTTTGGCGTGCGACTGGCACTTTGATCTACACGACACGAACCAACCCCCACACCTCGCATGAAGACTGGAGACATCCATGGAAATCACGCGCAAACCTCGACGAAAGTGGTCTTTCGAAATTTTAGAATGGCGGCGGCTTCCGCCGCAGCCGCCGGGGTCCGGTCAAGCCGAGAGCTAGCTTCCTCAGAACCAAGCATCTCGCAATCTGACTTGCTAGCACCAGGGGGGGGGGGGGCCAGTACGAGTATCACAACCTCCCCTGCTCGGCCGAGTGGACATCCGAAGGCGGGAAAACTGCAGCAAACAGGCACTGGACTCAGACTTCAAGGTCTGCAAGGGGCCGTGCAGGAATGCAACCTAACACAACAAACGCAGCGACATTCCTCAAGACCAGCTTCTCGTCCACCAGCTCCCGGACAATGCCGAATCGCGCCTCTGTGACTCTATATGCTTGTATAGAGGCAGCGCGGCTTCGAACGCTATGACGCTATCTGCAGTGTCCACGTGATACCCGAAATTTGATGCCAGGCCTCCAGGCCTTGGTTTTGAAGCTTTGTGACTTTGGTCAACCAAACACTTCCCTTGAGCATGTGCAAGATCTGGGTGTGCAGACAGGAGCCGACCACCCCAATCGCGCCTAACTCCTAACCTAAGACTTTCAAGCTCCTAACTGTCCCAACTCTAATTGCAACTAAACACTTGGTTGCCCCCCCTGCTTTCATAGCCAAAAATGTCGTCCCTGTGTTGGCTTGCTGACCAGTCGCATCATCCTCACTCAGAACATCCTCGAACGCAAAGATGCAGGAATTAAAACCTCGAGTCATGAAGGGCAGAGGAACGGCATCTTGCTGTTGACACATGCTGCTGATGTTACTTGCAGGGCGTTCTGCGGGCAGGTGGCTGATCACATCTGGCTGCAGTTCCTGTCGCAATCGAAACATGAGCACCAGCTGCGCAGGCTGCACCGCTGCGCTCCTCGTCGGACATCTGCCGAAGCCAAGCCAGCGCAGGTCGCCACTGGGCGCCGCGCGCACAGGCGTAAATGACGGCATTCATCATCCTCGATATGAGAGCATAAATTTACGGCTATTGAAACGATCTTAACCCGCATTTCTGCATAAACGTTTCGTATACCGCCAAAAATGTCGCTCCAGCTGCTAATACGACCCGTTGCTCCTACTCCGACCTGACACATCGCACGGGCTTTGCAGTGAACTCGCCACAATTCATGATCATAGCAGAGCGACTTCAAAAGCCTAAAGACACTGCAGCTTGCTAATTTTGTGCTGGATGAGGTTCAGGATGGCAGTTACGTACTCCACGTGGGGCTGCCAAGCAACGTGCTGGATGCTTGCTGCATCCTCGGCCCCTCGTAAAACCTGTGCGGTCTGCTTTGGAGTCTTTTCTGCGCAGGCTCTGCTCAAAAAACGTAGCTCATCGGTTTACTATCGGTTTTGGTAGGCCCTCATCTTCCCCTGTGCCATGCGAAGATCCGTTAAGCGCGGGATCATCCTGATGTTTGCCACCACGCGAATCAGGACGAGCACAAAACTCATCACTCCAAGAGAGCCGACACGATGGGGAGGACGAGAGGTGTATTTTCCAAGTAACACGTTTGCCATCCTTGGTCGGTTTGGTTTGGCTACCTGCTGTTGTCGCTTTGTTTTTCACCGTTTTTTGACAAGCCAAACTGACTCCGACCAGAAGTTGCACAGGCTTTTCCAAGTCCTGCACAGAGTTGCCCGGGGCAAGTGGCCGCTGGTCGGAACTCTCATGCCTTTCGTGCCAGCTTTTCATATTCTGGCTCATTTGACAAACGACCTGCTGACAAGTAGCCTGAGCCAGTTTAAAAACTACAACCACCTCGACCCCGGCACATTCGTAACATAGTCAAGAATCAAACAAAAGCCAGAGTTAAATACCCAGGAACGCGTGGCTAGCATTGCGAAAAGCCTTAGAGGAACACGCAGAGGAGGTGCAGTGTAGATCTTCGGTGTATCTCGCACGCAGCCGGGCAGCAACTGGCTGTCCTGTTCGATACAGTACATTTAGGCCAGACTGCATATTACGAGGGTTAGAACCCGTGGCATTCAACCAGCGTGCTGCCCTCAAAATCACAATCAAGGTGCTGCTCCATCAACGTCACAGCTCGCTGCCACTGGACCGCTTTTGCACATGCCGAAATGGTCGTTCCTCTTCAGGCAGAGCTCACATGCTTGGTTCAGAAAGAGAAATTAGATGTCTAATTAAAGGCCACCCTCCAGGTAGGGCTGCCCAGAGCCGAAACCCAAAAGTGGGGATTGTGAACGATCGTATTCCGTATCTTCAATAATCGAAGAACGATCTGATCTGGGATGTGTACCTGAAGCTCTGGGCTTCAGGCTGTCAGGGCAGGGTGTAAGGCCGCGGGAACACCCACAGAATGCCACAACCTGTCACAGACTAACCGTTTAAGGAACACGGCCGGAAGAGTCAACTCATGGAAATCGGAACCCTACCTGGACACATTGATTGTCCCAGCTGCCCGTCTCTATAAGTTGTGGTTTCAAGCCCGGGCCCACCATACGTGACGAGATTGGCCCTCAGTGACCGTCCCGGCAGTGCCTTAGTCGGCGAGCTTCAGGTGGCAAAAATCTACAGCCTGCAATTTCAAGCTTCTGTGTCGCGCCCACTCCAACTCCATGTCATACGTACACTACACTGCCTCAAGCGAGTCAGCTCAATGCAGTCTTTGCGACCCGGCAACTGCAAAGAGGCACAGTGCTTGCTGCCAAGCTCCCCCGGAGGCACAAGCCTCAGACTGGTGGTAAAGACTCTTCGGAGCCAAGGAAGCGAGCGGAAATGGGCCGGGCCTTGAGCAGCTCAAGCTAAAGCTAAATGGCCTTACTGTTGAAGCTGACAGCCCCAAACCTTTGCCGAACCTGGCGAACTGCCACAAAGGAAGGCTACAGCGATGCAATGTGGTTGCGAGCATACGAAACGGAAATATCTAATGAGACCTGTGCATGCACGTCAACCTTTGCATGAACGCGAAAGCCTTCCAAGGAGCACTGATCACAGACGTGCATGCAATAATGTTGGAGCTCACGCTCTGCTGCTCCATGCTGCGAAACAACCTTAGGCAACTGCAGACAATCCTGGTGTGTAGACCATGCGCAAACAAGAACTCATCAGTCTCGTCATCTGCTGAACATTATACATCCGATGTGCGATTGGCCTGCGGTGACAAGTGTCGTAAGGTTGCTGTCGAATCATGCCGCTGAAGTGTCACAACCGGCAAGTAGGGAACTTGGTCGCGACATATGCCTTCCCCCGAGGTTGCTCGAAACAAGATTCACGTGGACTCGGCCTGCATCGCCTGATACTGGTCAGAGCTGAGCGACTCCAATGCCGTGCTCCACTCGGCTGCTTTCTCACACGAGCTGATGGCCACGCCTTTCGGACAGGGATACTGTCGCACTCGGTCTGACCATTGCGCAGCGTGCACATGCACAAGACCGCACGACCGTTTGCTTCGCTGCAAGCTGCAACAACGGGGTCGTAGCAAAAAACATGATTGCAAAATCGCACGCATCCACCAGCCAGGCCAATCGATCTCTTCACCTTTGGAGGCCAGTTGCTGTAGGAGATGACGTCGGGCAGAACGAAGCTCGTCTGCATCTCCTATGAGGTACATGCACTTAGACGGTGTGAGCAGTGTGAATATGCACCTCTGCCGCGAACGGAATGTCGGGCAGCAGAGAACTGCAGCTTCGTTAGAGTAGCTTTTGCTGAACCCCGCCGACTCTGAGTCTTCCATCTCCGTGCCTGGAGCAGTCGACAGGAGGCCTCCCAGAGACCAGGCATCTCCAGGACGCCAAGCATGGCATTCGCGAGAACGAGCCCCAACTGCGCAGGAAGATCTCTAAATGACTCGAAAGTCTAATTCTAACCTTAGCCCGTAGGGAAGCAGCGAGCCTGAGGCTTGAATTTCGATGTTTGCGTTTCTGGGATTCTCAACCCTGAGCCTCAGCGTTTGGACATGGAGGCCCGTGGCTCCCCTGCATCCACCGACCCAAACATGCAGAATGTAGATTTGCATTTCAAAGTCAGAAGTCTCTGCAAAGTGTCAGAGACTAAAGCCCTTGAACCGTGCGGTCTATCCATGCACCAGGCTCTGTGCGCTTGCATAATCACATGGGCCCCACCCCGCACGGGCCCCTCAGGCCCCTTGGTGCGCAATGGCGGCACATAGCAGTGACAGCGCAGGGGCCCAAGAGCTGCCTTTTACCTCGGCCCCCTATCTGAGAGGCAGGATAGCTCAGGCACAGGATGTTTGTTGGAAGTTTGACATCTCTCGTGCGGGGCAACCTCCGAATACATTCCTCTAGAAACGGTTGGGAAAGTGAAGGTTCTATCGCTTCAGGAGAGGAAGATGAAGACCAGTTTTTGCAAAATTGCCTGCTCGCTTAATGGAGGTGTGTTAGTTGGAAGGTGTACAAAGTTGGCGACGTTATAGCTTCAGGGAGTTCAGGATGCATGTTCGCATTTTGTTTCATGGATCTGTTCCTGACTTACCATAGGTACCGCTGCCTGATCTGCAATATGCAGACTTGTTGGGATGTGCAAGCTGGCAATTCTCACACTCGGGAAGTCAAGAGGATTGGGCTTCAGCTCTTACCGTAGGGTGGTGTCCGCGGTCCGGACCCTACGCAGAGAGAGCAATGCTGCAATAAGTATACTGCATGAACTACTGCCGTGCCGCATCGAAATGTAGATTAATCAAACTTCAGGGGCAAGAAGCTTAAGGAGCAACACTGCTGAATCAAGGCCGGAGGTTCGCAAGCGCTGGCGACCGCGCTGTAGCAAATAGCATCAGGCTCCAGGTGTCGCAGGAGCATGTCCTGCAGCAGCTCTAACCTCGGCGCGGAGAAATGCAACATATGGCAGTATCCAAAGATGTTGAAGACAGGCCCCGTCATGTTACAGAAGATCCGCCTGCGAAAACAACTGTGCCTGCGTAGGCTCCAATTTGCAGAATACACCTGAAGCGAAAGATCACCTGTGATGTATGCCACGACGGCCCTGCGAGCAAAATCAAACATGTGTGACTATGGGGATCGCCACAAATATCGCTCTTTGGTTCGGTTCCAACCCGGCGCCGAACGCGGCATCCATGCTTGTTCGTGCTCATGCTGCGGTTGTGTCAGATTTAGGAATTCATGTCTGCTTGTCTTTGTCTCTGTGCCTGGGCGCAGAGCGGGAGCCACGGAACCGCTGTGCGTGCCTATACTGCCATCGGCCCGGAGGTGGAATCGGAAAATTTAAGGATCCTGCGCCTATGCAGGCCGACCCCGACGCCATAACTGCCACACAACACGCAGCACACCTTTCTCCATGGCCCCGGCGAGTGGGACCACGCCTCGGGAAGTCCGCAGGCGCGGATGGCTGCGCTGTAGACGAAACAATTCGGCTGGAGCCTTGTGCAGCAGGTTAGGGGGAAGCGAGGGACAGGTCAGGGAAACGAATTGACGATCTTCAGACTCTGGGTTCGATGTGTATCGATCTTCAAAGCCGGCTCAGGTGGGGTTTGGCCCGCCGAGCGCAGCCTTTTGGAGAGGCGCATCAGCATGTGATCAAACCGCAGCTGCATTATATGTTGCCGTCATCATGCGACAAGTTCAACTCCAACGACTTTCCTTAACTGCAGGGAGATCTAGCTGGCGCGTTTCTGACAGTCTGAGTTAGAGTCGATTCTCATATACGTGGCCGTGGTACAGGCTGACTCGTCGCTCTCACTGCTTCAACACCACACGAGCGCGTACTAGCTAGTTCAGCTATAGCTTATGAAAATCTGCGGCCTGCTAAGTCTGGAAATGCTGTTTTTTCCTGAATATGCGTTTCAGATGCGTTTGAGATGCATTCGGAGGCATCTGGGAGATTGCGTTTTCGGTCCGTTTTGGATGCGCTTGGGATCCCTTTGGGTTCATTTGGGTTGCGTTTAATGATTAATGTGCCTTTGGGGTGCGATTGAAGTGCGTTTGGATTGCGTTTGAAGTGCGTTTTGGGCTGTGTTTGGAGTCTCGTTGTCCCAATGGAACGGATCAAAAAAGGCACTTTTTCATGGATCCGTGCCGGGGCCGGGGCCGAAACCGGGGCGGGGATCCAAAAACGGATCCCCAACAACGAATCCGAAAACGCACTGAAAACGGTCTCCAAGCGCATCCCAGACGGATCCAAACAGACACGAAACGTATCCAAAACGCACCTGCAAACCGGCCTCCCAAACGCCTTCCCCCATGCATTTAAAACGCATATTTAGGTTTTGCACAACATCCCGGTGGAAAAAACAGAACCTTTCACAAAGCTAAGCTGGGTGACAACAACAACAACAACACACAAGTTCTGGCGGTGTGACTAGAATTCCCCCCCTTTACGCAGCTTCTAGCATCTGGTCTCTTGCTTGCTTTCAAAGGAAGGGAGAAGCCGCCCGGCCCGTGATCAGCACAACCCAACCCACCAACATGGCTTTAGAGATGCCCTTGGCCTTGCGGCCTTGCCCTTCTTCCCTCATGGATTGGAGGCAATCTTCAACTTCATCCTCACTAAATGGCTCTCCGAAAGGGAAGGCTTCTCCACCCCGCCCTCAAGTGGAGAAAACCTGACATCAAAGAACTGTTTGACATCAATCTGCGACTAGGAGACTGCTCAGCATCCAGATGAAACATGAGCTGGGCAGCTGCACGCCACTCCAGAGCCTGGAGCACATGGGATCTTGTGCAGATCTAGGCATGCGAGGCAACCTGCCACGATCCGCCCTGATCTCCTCGGAAACCCTTAAAGCCTTAAGCACCCTTGGATCACCGGGTGGCCTTGCTACAGGCTGTGATAGCTGCACCCACAGCAACGACATCAGGGCTCAAAGTGCCCGCTGTAGCTTCGCCTCAACTTCGGACTCAGCGATCGGTCGGGGAGTGCTGCAAGTGCTGAACATCCAGAACGACGGCGACAGCCTCTGTTATCATCCTCCCCGCAGCACCGGAACCCTGTCCTTGCGCCACCGGTTGAAGAACATCGCTGCCCAAGACCACTACGATTCAAAGACCCTTGCTGGTAGGCTTGCAGGTAGGGGGCGGAGTAACTGAAGGCCGTCCGTCCACTGAGCCGCTTGGCGAATGCGCTTTGTCATGTCACGAAGGTCCGGCTGCTTCCTGCTACCAGTCTTTCCGATTTGGGATTCCCTGGTGATGGAATCATCGGGCACTAGCTGTGTCTACACGAGCTTTCCATGCCCCCGTTTCGGGTTTCTGAAACTGCCCGAGAAAAATATAATATATATATATATGAAGTAATTGAGCTGACGCGTTGCCGGTTGGGGGAAAGATGATTAAACTGTCCGCTCCAACATGCCCCCTCGTTGCAGATTCGAGCACAATTCCCGGGCCCCGGATGTCAACTTCATCAACTACTGCATGGAGGGAACAGCAGCATGGTGCCGTGTGTAAGAAACGAAAAAGACAAAACTCGCAAAGACATCTCAAACTCGTCTTTGGACCTGTCTGCCTGATATGTGTTGCGAACACTCTTCGGCGAGGCCTACTGGTGGCTTGCGGCGCTGCAGCTGCCATGGCAAAATGTGGCATGTTGTGGTGGGTGATGTGGGGCTGATGCAAGCCGGCGGGAGCAGTCGAAGTGGCTTCCGCTGGGGCTACGATGGGGCTGCCATGAGCTTCGGGAGTGGCAGGACCGTAGGAATGCTGCAGACTGCAAGTCGCTTCGGTATTTGCGATTCTGGGCCGTGGGGCTGGCGGGAGCGCTCCAGATGAGGGAAATCAATCACACGACCACCGTGCGTGTCCGACCCCTTCTGTTAGGGGTGAACTTGCTTAGGGGCAGGGTGCAGCTCTCGATCTAAAGTGTGAAGCCCGTTGAATGACATTCCTAATTGCAGGATTGACCCTGACCTGCGTGGTAAAGACTATCATCGCAAAAGACCGTTTATTGGCGGAAAGCCATTTGCTCCAAGGCGTTGCCAATAGCAACTGTTTCGAAACCACCCTTCCAAAGGACTCGACAACTTCACATCATATCTTTGTCGGCGGTCGCTGAAGGTGGTCTTGCAGCGAATGCCACTCTTGCGAGGACATCTGGGCCGCTGCCACGGCGGCACGCTGCCCTCCGAGGCAAGGGGCAGCCGTGCAATCCAAGATTAGCCTGAAATTTTGGGGTGCGAGTAGCGAGGGCGGCTCATAGAGTGCGTTTAGAATGGAGGTCGCCCTAGAGACATGGCTCGACAGACCAAGTTCCAGACCAAGTCCTCACTGGATCGCGATTGACATCGACCTAGACGGCCGGCCTGCCAGCAAAAGGAAGTCCCTCGACAACTCGATTTTGGATGGGACCTGCGGCGCTGCGGAGTGGAAGACCCGTTTAAAGAGGGGCATGCGATCGCTGGGAAGCTTTCAGAGCACAAGCTTTTCGGGCCCTCGCCTCTTCCCCCAAAAAGATGCCCGGCCGGGCAGCGAGAGGCAGGGCCGAGTTCAAAGATGCAGGAAGTTGAGTGAGCCTCAGACAGACTGCTAAACATGTATGCTTACGAGGCACAATGCCTGCAACCTTGACCTGCATATTGAAGGTTCCGTAGGAGCTTAACTGCAACCTACGTCACTGTGGCAGATGAAAGCCAACGAGCTTCGACACATGATGTATTGGGGGCTGTGTGTGTGTGTGCGTATGTTCCCCACAGCATTGAGCGCTGGCGGAACGGGGCTTTCGACCAAAGCAGAATGCACGGCCCAACATACACGCGGAGGCACATCCAAATTCCGGAAGCGCTGCGCCACAGACTGGGCACCTCTCTCGAGGCGTCTCAGAGGCTCAGGCTGGGCTTCAAGCGCACACAACTCGCCAGTCAATGTCTCACATCGAAAGCCGCACCAGTCCTGCCCTGCCTCATGGGGCGTGCACGAAGCGGGCCAGAAGCCCAATTCTGCTCGAGCCTGCAGCAATGCCAGCTAGAGGACCAAGAAGCTGGAGGACTGAATCTTAGCCTGGGACAGCCTAGGAAGAACGAACTAAGGAACTCAATGGCACATGTCGCAGCTTCAGACTTTGGAGAGAACAGGAGCTTGCCCTTGCGCGGACACTTCCGTGCCCTGAAACCGTGACAGCCTACTTAGAATCCTGCCAACCATGTTGACTCCTCCACCCAGTTCGGAATTCGTAGCTCGTGTCATAATGCAAATCCTCCATATCGCAGGGGAGTGCGTGATTTTTTGACAATCATTGAATCATGGCAAGCCAAAACCCGCCTTCTCTTCTACAGCTCGCCCGTCTGCCGTTGATAGCCTGAGATCTAATTGCTGAAGGCCCTTGAAGAACAGCCCAGAAGCCCGGCAAGAGATAGCCTTGCAGCAGAACAGCTGCTGCAATTCGGCAATTGGTGTCGGCATCTACAATAGTCACAAGACTTGGTCTGGGGGGCTTGGGTCCGTCCAGTGGCCGGTCCAGGATTGAAGGGGTGCTTCTGTCAAGCCACTTCGTGTGTCGGAACCCAGCAACACTTTCAATATGAAGAAAGTAAGCGCAAACCATTCATTTAAATAATCTTCCGTGTCGGAAATGCAGTAAAAATCCACCAAGCAAGACAGGCGCGGTTATAATAATTCCTAATTGTTCATTGTGTAGAAAGTAAGAACAAATCACCAATAAAAAGGGAATTTTGGACTAACCCTTATCCGTTTACAATTAACCCAGTGTAACGATGGCAGCTTGACCAACGATACCAAGTAAGAAGACCGCTGATGATGGACGTGCGAAAGAAGATTGATGATCCAGAGAAGCCACGTTCGTTTCAATTTATACTTTATATTTTAGCTCAACCGTAGAATGACACCTTATTTATGATGAAATACTGTTAACTGTGGCCTTTATAGGTAGCAGCGAGAAACCAGTAAGTCTCACATCTGGGCATATTCTGTCGCTGGGATGTTGTTTCAGTTCGGGGAACACCCGTAAGGTGCAGCATGGCTGACGGTTCAAAGCGAGTTTAGGTGCGTTCCCTCACGAGGCCCGCGCGACCGCCCGACCCGCCCGCCTCCAGCCCACATCAACTTAAGACGTTAAGCCGGTCAGCCTTTCCAGCTCGAAGTGAGCTGCCAAAGCAGCGGCAGACCAGGAGCTTGCAGGAACGTCCTGCAAACGGCTGCGGAGCGAATCTCCCCGGAGCACGAGCCATCAAGTCATGCGGTGCTGGCTCTTGGTTTCACTGTGTCCTGCACGAGCTCCTCTGTGTCCAGCCCCTTCTGAAAGCAGCAGACATAGAACCCCTCTGCATCGAAGGTTTCTGGGAAAATGCCTGTCACTGTATCTTCCGGTTGGTGAAAATGCGCGGTCGGCTCAACACTTAGACTTGAGGCCTGCCTACAGCTTAGCTTGAGCTTCCGGTATCGTCCTAATCGTGAAACGGTGGCGAGTTGCGCAAGGCGCCCAGCTCCTCCTCCAGAGCTCCGTTGCCCTCAGCTCGTGCACGAACCTCCTCAGGACGACGGTGACAGGGTGCAGGCTAAGGAAGCAATCGGGGCCGGCTGTTTCTATGCTCTGGGGCTTTCAGATAGTAGATTCACGCACCTCCTATGCTAGTGTTTCGGGCACGAGAACCAGACTCGTAGGTCTAAGATCTGAAGGTGGTGCGACTTGAGAGCAACACAAGGGATGAGCACGAAACCATCACCAACTTGCCGCCCCAGAAGGCCCCCTGCCTTCGGGAAACGACCCTGAGGAGCAATGTTCACATCGAGAAATTGAATCATACTTCTCCGAACTGACTTCCGCTCCATCTCAACCGGGCCACTGAGACGACGGCAGCCGGAAGCGATAGCAGGGATGCTGCATCCACACAGTGAGCCCGGTGAGGAGCTTTGGAGCCGAGGCCCCGCAAAAAGCTGAGACAGAGTCCTTTTGGCGCACATGCAGCCGCCAATTTTGAAGGCAACGAACGATCATGTTCATTTCTGGCATTGTGGGATTTGATTACAATATAATTCAATCTTCTAGTCTAAAAGTCTACAGCAAACCGTTAGCGGCTAGGACTTTGGGCAAGGCTTTCATTTCCTGGTGCCGTCTGGGCCCTCTGCTTGATATTGTTGATACCACTATGTGCGGCTGTCAGGGGAAATGCTCAACATTGACTCAACATGCGACCATGCGACGATTTCAACTCGATCGGGACTCCACTCTGACAAAAATAACCCGAAACGAGAACTTCATCCGGCCGCCGACCGCGCCTTCGTTCTCGTAGTAGTTGAAGGTGCAGGTGGAGTAGACGAGGGAGCCCCCCGGCCGCAAAGCTCGCCAGCCGCTGTGCAGCAAGCGGAGCTGCGTCCCAACGACCCGGGTCCTAAGCGCTTTCAACATTTCTCGCACTCTGGGTGCACCCTTGCATTTTTTGCCTCCTGCATTGCTGAGCGAATCACTAGGCCCTAGGCAGGGTTTCAAATGAATTAATACAAGTAAGGGTCCATTCAACTGATGCGATCGTCACATGCGACAGACTCCAGAACTGAATGAAACTGCGAGGTATGCGCGGGAACGATACATCTTTGGAAGCCGTTAACAGGCGACCGTAAGCCAATCAAGCGGCAAAGACCTGTCAGTAGGAGCCTAGCTTGCGATAGCTGACATGCGCCGAGCTCGTGCTGGTTCATGACAGCAGCTTATACATCTTTGCACCGCGCCTAGGTTATAGCCCTCAGAGCTTCCGGTAACATTGGCGTCGAGGTGCTGTTCATCCCGGTCTGCCTCCAGCAAGGACAAGGGCGACTTGCGGATGTTGCCCTGGCTCAACAGAGGCCAGGCGCGAACTGAAGCGATGAAGAGCTGCCCTGCTCTCACTGTCGATTCCTCGCAAGAGCAGGGTGCATCCACCAGCACGGCATCGAAGACCTGCGTCACCGTCCATGCTTGAGTAGTGTGCGGTCAATGTGGGTGTTGCATGCCGCTCGGCACCCAACCAGTATGCTCTGTCCACAGGCGAACCCACGTCTGCCATGCACGCACGGAACGGACTGGTCGGTGTTTATGGGTGCTATCGTGCCTCCGGCAATTCCGAGCCCAGATCCTCCCCCCGGCCGCGCAACTGGAGCCATTGCCTGGCTCTGTCAAGTCTGGGGCACCTCTACAGACAGACAGCCGGACGCCGAGGCACGTGGACCCCGACTTCAAGAGATTCTCCTTGGTCGCCACAACATGTCATTCAATCTGGCGCTTTCCATTCAGAACGCACTCCAAATTTAGAGATGTTCTCCATACGGTTGACATCCTACTGCATCTGAAGCGGCCAAGATTCGTACAGCTTCTGAGATCGATCTGCATCGAGCCTGAGCCAAGATTCAGGAACCCCCATGTTGGCGCTTCAAGCCTGCGCAGCCCTGTGCCGCCCTTCGGACGGGCTTTTTGCAACTGGCCTGCTGCGACTCTGCCAGGAGGAATACTTGGCCAGAATCACTTCCCTTACAAATCCGAATCCTGAATCTTGATCTAAAGCCGTGCCATGCCCGGCGGCTCATTCACGACTAGGCAGCTGCCGTCGCCCCTCTCGGCCAGCCAGTTCAGCAGCTGCCTGACGAAACTCACGGAATCCAGCGCCACTGCGCTCGTCTTCTCGGTTCGAATGGTTCGAGATCCTCAACCTTTGGTCTCTGACCGAGGGGCGTGGACTTGCTGCCAGGCGCTGCGCACAGGTCCAAAGCCAGAAGAGGCATATTCCTCGCGTCTTGGTGCATTTTGGTGCCGCGCCAGGCTTTGGAGTCTTCCATGTCATGTCTTGAAGCCAGACTGGTGACGAGGTGGATGCCACATACCTGTGTATTTTGGCCTGTGTCCACTCTGCATCTTTACTCGGTGGCAGGAGGCCACATGCGGCCGGGACTACCCCATGGCTCTGTGATTTCGGGGCTTCAACGAACGAGCGTGCAATGCACCTCCTCTCCAATGGTGCAAGCTGCTCAAGGGCTCTTCGGAGCACCTGTGTGGAGACGCGGAAGGGTTCTCAGGCTCTACAGACTTGAAGCGCCGGAGTTGACAACTTCGGCTAACCGTCACTGAAGCCCGTGGAGACCTCGGCAGGCAGCATGGAGGTCGCCTCTTGGAAATACATCGCCCCGCTGAGGTGCTCCGTCATGCCTGGACAATCAGTGGCCTTGTAAGCCTAAGCCTGGGACTGACGAGTGACCGTAGATTCTACAGTAGATCTCATTTTCGGAACCTCCCAGCTTGTCAGGTCCCTCGAGGACGAAGCCCTCGGAGAGCCAGGGTACGGAGTGAAGTCGGCAGCCGGCCCTGGTGAAATGATCACAGCGTTCGACGTACAGGGTTTCTGCTGTTTCTGCACTAACTTACTAACCGGTAAGTTTCAAGGACATGACAGCAATTAGAATCGACAACGACAACAAACACCAGCATCAAATCAATCTGAAAGGCCCACCACTGCGGGTCTCAGCAAATGCATTTGACACAACCGACGGATTGCTGATTCTCAAAGGCTGGCTTTGACATACCTCCCACTCTCTAATCTGACCCAGTCGTTGCTCCGCTCACAAAAGCAGCTGGCTGCTATGCCAACCCCAGAAAGCTTCTTCGACCTATGCTGCTTCGTCCATGACTACTCTCGCCAACCGCTTCACGCATGAAAGCACAGACTCGGTACAAATACGAAGTGTCTCCCTCTCTGAATATCCACCGTATACCGCGTATACCTATCATATACTTCGCAACCCAGTGCAGACCGACAGTGGTCACGAGTTCTGGCCAGTTTCGTCAAGCGACATGGTACTTGACCTACAGCAGTCTGCAGGCTCATTTGACAGCTTCTTGTAGGATTTCCGATATTTTCTCAGTCTCCAAGCACGGTGTGCCGTCTGTCGAACCTTCCAAGCCCACAACAAGTTGTACCTGCTACTTGCTGCGGGTGCAGTGTTTACGAGCTGGCATTGCTGTCATTGAAAGCCGCTAGCCCAAGCAAATTGACTTGTCCTACTACGTAATGTCTGAAAAAATCCAGATGTGCTACATCGAGGGATGCAGCGAAAAGAAAAACCTTCCAGCGGATGTGCAAAGCCAAACCTGATAAGTTCAGCAGACACGTCACTGGGCGCCCATCTAACCCAAACTGGACCCAAATTAACCTAAACCCTCTGCAACTGCCCGCGAAGCCGTGTCTTTCCTCAGCAGTTTGCCTTCCTGACCAGGCCCCCCAACAAGGTCCCCGCATTGACATGAGTATGAGCATCAGAGCTTGCTCTGCGCGGCCTCTTCAATGCGTCCAGCAGTCCATCGGTGGCCTCCAAAAGCTCGTGAAGTCTTGATAAGTGAGCATTGTCTGCAATGCTGACCGTTCTTTTCAGAAGACGCAAACTGCATCATGTCGTTCGATGGGTTGTGGGCTGCACACCTATACCCGAGAAAATCCAAGCGGGGTTCCTCTCTCCCATGTCTCTGCGAGCGCACGCAGCATATCACAATAAAAATATTGACCATACTGACAAAAGGCCAGTGGGTGGCATAAAAACGACCAGCACTACGGTTTCGCGTTGCGGCTACAAGGGTTAAGCTGGAAAATGCCGTCGGGTGTTTGCTGCGTTTTTCGAAGTCCAGGCTTGGGGCTCGGTACGTTGATGCTTCGCGCACTGCAATGGCCGAGAACATTGCCAGACACAATCATGGATGCAGGAGTCTGTCGCCTCTTGCTTCCCCTGCTTGTAATAAAGAGCGTTGATTGGTCCAGAGTCAAAGCAATTGCCAGGCCGTCTTTAACCACAATTTAAATCATCCGTGCGATGCATCGTGCGAGCGTTTCAACCAGCAGAGAAAAGCTCTGTCTCCACTGCGAGAGAAGGGCGCATCGAAATGCCTCCTGTCTCTAGAAAAAGCGGCGAATTTACCATCTCATTGAGCCACACATTTGGCTGAAACCAATCGAAGTTCGCTCTCCGACACCCGCCTTGCCTTAACGGTGTTGGCGCGAATGCTCCTCTGCAAGGGCCGCGCGGCAGCTCGGAGGAAGCGTCTGGTGGCTAGGCCTGCGCAAAGACAGTCTGCCGGCACGGACTTGTCCTCCTTCGCGTGCCATGTGCCCCTAGCTTAAGGGAAACCCGGGAAGAGATCTCTTGATCCTCACCCAGTGGGAGTTAGAACACAGCCCCCTCGACACAATGTCCTACCAAAGAAGAACAAACGACAAACCGCGATGGCTTTGCTGCCTGCTTGTCTCTCAACCACGTTGCCAACTGGCTCTCTTCCCTCTGTCCCACTGGTATGGTGCGCCCGTTCGACGGTATTACAGTGACTGGTAGTGGCGCGATGCGATTGAACAACGCAAGGGTGTACTGTACGCTCACAGTGCAACCTCGTTCAATTCCAGATTGCGAGGGGGGCAGCAGCTACAGCCTGGCTTTCTCGATTCGGTCGATGAGTAAATTGAGGGAGCTATGGCTGCGAACTTGGAGGCAAACTCTTATTGCAGTTCTGCGAATTGGGCCCCTTCGAGTCCAAGTGCTGTCAAGAGCTAGGCCAGCTAGGCCTCCTGAGCGCAGCCGCGACATCCTGACCAACGTTTGACAAGATCCCAACCACAAACCCTCCCTTGCGAGCATCACACATTCAGCACCACCCCATGCGACGTGATGCGCACCATGAAGACTACGCATCTCGTGCCCGGACCATGACTCCCAGTTCTATCACAGCCAAACAGCCAAGACCTCCTCTCCCAACAAGGACACGCAGTTCTTTGCGCACTTTAAACTTGGACTTGGATCATCTAACTCCCAAGCGACCTGTCCTGGTCACGAAATCCCGGGGTGCCAGGGGCGGGCGATCAAGGCGTAAACGCCCAAGGCCTGGTGCCTCCAACCTGGCGAGGCATTTAGCATCATCCCTGGCTTTGCTACTCACCAATTCAAAATTTCTGTCACCGAATCAATCTCAATGATGGTACTCCGCCTAGTACTGACACCACCGAAAACAGACTAAGAGTAGGAACAGTCAGAGTCTGGTTGCCTTTCTCATTTTTGGTCTGGAGGAGGATCCTCGCCATCAAGACAGGCGGGCAAACCCAAATTGCAATACAGGAAACCAAGCAGGTCTTCCAGCAAGTCCATCAAGAAGTTGGTCACGAGCTGTTGCGGAAAATTTCACATTTAGGCAAACAGCGGATGAAGTGACCTGTTGCCTTGTCTCTCACCTGTCTTCGCGGATTACACCTCAGGACCTCATTGCCGGTCTTCCCGTTGCGCAGCAAACACGCGTTCAGTCTTTGTTTTGCGATGGAGGTCAGCTTCTCGAGGTCCTAGCTCGCAGCCATAAATCTTTCTCTGTTCCTATAGGCCTGACCTACACACCCAACTCACGAAACCCTCACGAATCGTTTCTCACGATTGGTGAATCGTAGAGGCAAAGGCTCATTCAAGAGCTCCACGTTTGAGAAGAGCCCGCCTCAGCCGTGCGTCCAACAGCTGGATCTGTTTCTGCCAGATCTGAGCGGGTAAACCCAAGCAGGCCGAGCTGTAGGTGATCTTGTCGGGGCTGACCTGCTGAAAGGATCCGAATGTTCGTCAATCTCGATTAAGCTTGGGGAGCTGCTGTGCACCACGCGGACCTACGACATGCACTGCTTTTGATGGACGTACACGGTGTCACCGTGGTGCATGCGCGATCTTCATGTGCGATGCCTACAGTTGCGCTGGTGGCTTGATGAGTGGTAACACGTGCAAACCCTGTATGCTCAGCGACTAAAACAAACAACCATTCAGTGATTCAGAGTTCAACACCGATGCCAAGAACTTCTTCACCAATATCTCCGTGCACCCGGACTTGCTGAACCTAGGCGGGTCCATGTATTTGCTCTCCTCGTTTTCATGCCTCCGCATCCTCTATCATCGCCAATAGCACCAGCATCGCATCACCATCACCATCATCACCATCATCGTCTTCTGCCCACCGAAACTTTCAATACTCCTGAACCTTGAAACTCTACGAACTCAACTCATGGAAAATCTCACGGATGTCACCTCTCCAGCATGCATCTTGCTCACGAGCGCGATGGCCTGGGCCGCGGGTATGGGTGCAGCCCTGATCATTGTCCAATGTCATCGCTGCGGGTGCCATCGTCCCAAAAACTCTTGATCTTGGACCACTGGAAATCAACCGTCCTTCCATAGCTCACCGCTCTATCCACAATAAACATTGCATTAACAATAGTGGCCCGTTCTCTGCAAATGCAACGAATCCACTTGCCTCAAAACACGTCCAGCCGGAATTTGACTATTTGCCCAAGCACGCGAGAAAGTTTACATAAATGAAGACTCGCCCAAACGAACGAACAAACACACACACACACACACAACACACACACACACACACTCACCCACGCAAACTCAAACTCAAACTCAAACTCACACTCAAACTCACTCACCCACTCACACTCACTCACACTCANNCACTCACTCACTCTCACTCACTCACTCACGCACTCACTCACTCACACACTAACTCACGGACCCACGGACTCACAGACAGACAGACAGACAGCGAGCCAGACAGAGAGACAGAGAGACAGACCGACAGACAGACAGACCGACAGACAGACGGACGGACAGAGAGACAGACAAACAGACAGACCGACAGACGGACAGAGAGACAGAGAGACAGACAGACAGACAGACAGACAGACAGACAGACAGACAGACAGAGAGACAGAGAGACAGACCGACCGACAGACAGACAGACAGACAGACAGACAGACGGACAGAGAGACAGACAGACAGACCGACAGACCGACAGACAGACAGAGAGACAGAGAGACAGACCGACAGACCGACAGACGGACCGAGAGAGAGGCCGACAGACAGAGAGAGAGACAGAGAGACAGAGAGACAGAGAGACAGAGAGACAGACAGACAGACAGACAGACAGACAGACACATACACACACCACATGCACGCACGCAGACAGATCGAAGCTAAGCTGGCCGCATGCTCCCACTGCCTCGCTGTGGAAGTCGCACGCACCGCCGCATTGTAGGTGAAAATGTTTGCTTGGCACCGGCTTTGCCCTCGGTCTTGGTCTACCCAAGGTTTGGATAAGAACCGAAAAGCGGGCAACCCTGTTTATCCAACCGAAGACACGCAACCTGAAAACTTGCTCAGCTTGTGAGCCGAATCCTCTGGAGGCACCTTTCGGTCGAGGGTCCGAGCCGTTCCAAGAGCTCCAAGGCTCCTTCCCACTGCTGGCCTTTCTCACAAGCGCTGAGAACTGCGCCGAAGGAGATGATGTTGGGCTCGACCTGCTGGCTTGTGGAGCATTTAGGCCCTAGTCCTGGTCCCAGAGTCATTCCGGATGCTGGGCAAGTATGAGCCCAATTCAACTACTCAAAGTCCTGAGCCAGTCTAGTTAACTCATTACAGACCGGAAGTCTGAGAGATCCGGGTCCCAATACAAAGGTGTGGCAGGGAAAGTGGTCTCTCGACTTCAACTGGACCGCCGTGGCCTTTGTTCTACCTTCTGGATCCTTCTGGCAATGTTGAAGCTGTGCCCCCCCCCCCTCCATGAAACAGAATCTTTTCCAAGGCACGCCGGATTCCCACAGGGCGTCGAAAATGTGCAAGGCTCCTTAAGAAGATCAGTTTCAAGTTTCAACATGGTGATGGAGTGGGGAACGAGCTGCCGGGCGGATGATAACCCTGACGCTAAACCCTGCTTGCTCTCTGAGCCTGCTTCCTTGCTCGAGGTACCTGAGTGAACCTTGTTAAAGGCCTTCTCATCAGCAGCACGAGACTCGCAAGCAACACGCTTCAACAAACCCATCAAGTCGACCTGTCATTGTGTGACCAGAATGCAAGCTGTCCGGTCGGAAGTGCCCCAAGGCCCCAACCCAAACACTCGAGAGCCTCCGAAGATCCAAAAGTTTCTTTGCAGTGGAAGGCGCGACCCCACTCAGAGCCCCGCACGCAAGCGCTCACCGCCGCACTGCACGTGTACACGTTTGGCTCCTGAGATGATGCTGCGAGGCAGGGCCGCTGAACTTCAGTGGTCCGTGTGTGGATCGTCAAGATGGCCCACCCTTGACACGTGGTTCTTCGGGACTGAAACTGTTCAGCCCTGTTGCGGCTGTCTGTTGCACCATAACCTGCAGAAGGCTCCACGCAGCAGCCCAGGCGGAGCCTTAGCTGCAAGTCGATTTGCTGGAATTTGCTTTGGGGTGGCGGGGGTTCAGCTGTCTAGCTTAGCACAGAAAGGCGATTCGAACTGAGTCTGAACCGAAACAAGCCCGATCTATAAAGAAACACGGCCCAGACTGCACGTTTCTGACAGAGATGCCCTTTCCACAGGCACTTATGCAGGCAGTGTAGGAAGCCAGCGCTGCAGGCGACTTCTGCTGCCTTCCGTCGGTGCCGATGTCAAACGGGGTTTTGGGCGACACATACAGTAGATGCTAGCTTCAACTTGGCCAAGGCTCTCTTCCGCCGCGAGCAACCAAACGGCGCACTGCCAAGCAGAATGCTTTCCACATGCGCGGATAGCAGGGCTGTATCTGACGGGTCAAGCGCAAAAGATCGTGGATGCGCCCTGGGCATTTAGGCTGCTTGCGACGGTGCACTCTGCCAAGCTCTTCAGCTTCCCGCCCGCTTCTTGGCGCAGCTGTTCCTCGCAGAAGAACTCTGATATGACGATGTGCGACATGAGCGGCACCAAGTCATCAGTAGCGTGCACGGCGATCGGAGGCAGCTGAACCCAAACTTGCTCAAATGAGCCAAAGACGAGCGCAGCCCAGACCAACTTATGCCGAAGGCTCCGCGATGGACCCTGCATCCAGTGCCTCCCCAAGGCCGCAGGGCATACCAAACTTGAAAGGATCCATATTGGGGTTGAGAAGGAGTTTAAAAGAAAGGGAGTTTTGGGTTCGCCAGGTCCAGATACGATTGCCGGTCTGAGGCGGGCTCAATTGCTCGAACCTTGGGTGCAAGAAAGGTAGGAGTATCGTACGTCTATAGCGTGTAAAGATCTTGCGACTTCTTGATTGAGAAGTCAGCTTTCAAGAAAAGAAGAACACCCGCACATCAGCATGCAAAAAAATGAAAAGCTATCTTCCCCCCACTGCAGAAGCCATGCAGCAAGACAGAGCCGGGGGCCTTGCTCAACTTCTGAAGTGGGCTTCCGCCACCCACTTCCATAACGCCAGCGGCATTGGCATGGCCATTGGACCGTTTTTTAGGCTGCCGGCTCGCATCTGCAAGTTCATTCATTCTGGAGCTGCCCATGCATAGAATGCATTACAGTCATTCTCCAGCAATCAGTGACGCACGGCTTTCAGTATGGGAAAGAGGTGCGACAGCAAGACTAGATGCTAACAGCCTGGTTTCGGCAGCGCAGATAGCCCGTCCAACCCAGGACCCGGAAGCTTCAGTGCGGCCACCCCATCAAGCCAGTCAGCGCGGACAGTCGATCCATTCCATTACCCGGAAGCCTCGTCACGGACAGCCCATCCAAGAAACGGCAAATAGTGTAAATAAGAATCAGAACACCGGAAACCAGAAACAGAAGCCAGAAACAGAAACAAGAAACAGGAAACAAATAACTGAAACACCAGAAACAAGAAACGGAAACAAAGAAAAAGAAACAGAAACAGGACACCAGGAACTGTAAACAGGTCACCAGAAACAAGACACAGAATGCCAGAGACAGGAAACAGATCACCAGAAACAAAGAAATATAATGCTCATGAACCGCTTCTAATAGAAAATAGGACACCAGAAACAAGAAACAGAATGCCAGAGTCCGAAAACACGACCCGAGAAACAAGAAGCAAGGTGCCAGAAACAAGAAACAGGACGTTAAACAGGACACCGAAACACCAAAAACACGAAACAGGACACCAGAAACAGAAAACCAAAAAAAACACAAAAATAAACAGGAAACCAGAAACAAGAACCATGCTACCAGAAACAAGACACAGGACGCCAGAAACAAGACGCAAAACGGATCCTGCTCTAAAAGTCAAAACCTTTCGTGCACAGAGACTGGTTCTCAGAGCTGCGGCACTCGTGGCAGAACCCCCAAAAAAAATCTGAAACATCTGCATCACGGAGGATCCTGTCGAACCTGGAAGCTGCATGAGAGTCCGCACCTGTAAAGATGGAAATTAAGCCGATGTCGCGCTAGATGTGGTCATGCAACTGGCCCAGAACAGAACATCACCTTGAGCCTGCATTTCTTGAAAAGATACACATTCAACAAGATAAACCCTACACCCTAAACTCTCACTCACTTCCTGCAGCCTCCTTTTGCAAACAAGCCTGTGGACTCGAGGCTTCCGGCTTCCGATGCTTGCTGCATAGCCCAACGATGGTTTAGCGGGCAATTGCACTGGCAAAGCAATTGCAGCTTGCAAGGCCACAAGAGTTTCCATCATGTAAAATATCAAAATCTAATCTCGAAAAAAGTGTAATGTTGCTGTCGCCACCGTCCCTCCGCCCACATCCCGCCTTCCCAAATCCATCACAGCCGCTGCAGCCCCACCAGTCCATGCCCACTCACCCCATGCATCTGCTTGAGCCTCGAGCGTCCTGAGTGTGGGACGTTGCATAGCGCTCCTTCCTTCCGGGTATTGCC